GTCAGGCTGCAGCTCCGAGTCCTGCCTGCTCACTCCTCTTTTCTCTGTAAGGCCCATGCAAAGGAACTGAGGAATCTCTGCTCTCCAGCTCTCGCTGACAGTCAGTGCAAGTGCTGAAGCCACTGCTAAAAAAATAATAATGAAAAAAAATCTATGAAGGCATCAGAGGCTCAACAGCAACATTTTCATTAGGTACAATTCTGTTGTAGTGTTGAATTGGAGATCCAATTGCCCATGATTTATACATGTACTTTGTGGCCTTTGCCATGTCTAACAGAAGCAGTTTGCCATTTGCTTTCATCTCCCAAGCATTTTAAGTAGAGCAGGGATTCCAGGGTCGATACACCTCAAGGACTAAACAGACTGTCCAAAAAGTGTTCCAAGCATTTCCAGCCATTACCAAACATCTTCTGCAAGGCTTCAAAGAATCATACAGATACATATGGAAGCAAAACATTGATTTTGGCCAAATCAATAAAAAGAGAAAATTCTAGAAAACAACAGAACAATTACTATAAAACAAGCCCCACCACAAACACTTGTTCTCCTCTCCCAGAGTAGGTACTGGCAGGGCTGTGGGGCTGGGCTGTCCCCAGCAGGTCCTGGGGGCTGTGGGCAGTGCAGCCAAGCACTGTCTGTCTGTCTGTCTGTCCCATGGCTCAGGGCCCTGCCAGTTGGCACGCCCGGGCCAGGAAGCTGTCAGTTCCAATCAGGACCCAGCCCTGCAGCCCTATTAAAGAAGTCTTGCTGGTTAAGGGGCGGCCACTGTTTCCAAAGCATGGGAAAGAAAAAGAAAAAAAAAAAAAAGAAAAAGAAAGAAAGAAAAAAAAAAAAAAGAAAAAAAAAAAGGGCTCTGCTTTCCTTAGATTTGAGCTGGCAACTTTCACTGACTGGAGTTTTCAAGGAGCTATGAATGAGCCTAACAAAGGAGTTCTGTGGCCAGTTTCTGGCTGAAATCCATGTCAACAGTTTTTAAGGTCACAGGTCACACTAACTAACATTTATTCCCAGCAGACCCCGCTCTAAACACAAGCTGTAAGTAGTACAAATTTGGAATTTTTCTGTAATCCCTTGAGATATTCCTGATCCTTCCACATGTTTCTGCTCAATTAAAAACAATTCTCACTTTGCACCACAAGAGAGGCCCCTGCTCAGAAATCTTATTCTGTCCTAAGAATAAATGGACAAAGACTGCAATCAAAGGGAAGGAAAGGGGGGAGGAGAGGAACTCACAACAAATCACACCAAAAACCTCAAATAACTCCATACAGAATCACATTCAGTTAGTTACATTTTCTGCCATCTGTCACAAACTATTATGGATTCATTTCTTTTTATCTTAGAAAAAGAGTGGTGCAGAGCTCAGCTATTTTGGCCGAGAGGGATTTCCACACAAATGTTTCTGCATTTCACTTCAAAAGAATGATTTCAGTTTGGGTACAAAACCTGAATAACTGAACAAAAACTTCAAATTCAGTAAAACTGAAATCAGAGTTGCACATGGGACCTTTGCAAACCAGTAACTTTGCCCAGAAAGTTTGTGGAGCAAAGCAAAACTTCAGAAACTTGGGTTTGCTTTTGTTTTCATTTTAAATAAAAAACCAGAGCTCTTCACTAAATCCAGATCTATCTACACTGTTCTCCCTCAAAAGCCCATGTGAAATCTGATGTGAAATTAGAGTGAAACAATAAAAATTCAGCCTCTTAACGCACAGCTATTAGGATTTATCCCATTGCAGGTGAAATCCTGAAATCCTTAAATAAAGTCTTAGAAAGAAAAGACATTTGGGTGTGAAATTCCCAAATCAGAACACAGAAATTGATGACAGTACATCAGCACTTACTCTGCTGTAAATAAAATAACTCAAAAGCATGTTTTAATTTTTGTACCATATTTCATTGAAAAAGGTAGTCTGGAATTCCAATTTCCCTGGGAGATGTGGGTGTGTGCCACGAGAATTCATCTGGGCACAGAACCCAAACTCTCCAGGGAGGGCTCTGTCCCTCCCCTGGGGCTCACCCCAAATCCGGCGGGCTGTGTCCCTCCCCTGGGCTCTGTCCCTCACCCTGGGCTCTGTCCCTCACCCCTGGGCTCTGTCCCTCACCCCTGGGCTCTGTCCCTCACCCCTGGGCTCTGTCGCTCAGCCGATCTCTGTCCCTCACCCCGGGCTCTGTCCCTCAGCCGATCTCTGTCCCTCACCCGGTCTCTGTCCCTCACTCCTGGGCTCTGTCCCTCACCCCGAGCTCTGTCCCTCACCCCGAGCTCTGTCCCTCACCCCGAGCTCTGTCCCTCACCCCGGGCTCTGTCCCTCACTCCTGGGCTCTGACCCTCACCCCGAGCTCTGTCCCTCACCCGGTCTCTGTCCCTCACCCCTCAGCTCCGTTTCTCCCCTGGGCCGTACCCGCTCCCCCGCGCCCTCTGCCGGCTCTGCCGCCGCAGCGCAGCCGCTCAGGGCCAGCCCAGCCGGGCCCCGCAGCTCCACCTCGATGGGAGAACCGGGGCAGGGAAGAGGAAGCCGAAGAAGAGAGGCAGGTTCGACACCGAATAGAGTGGCTCTATATTGAAGACAACCGCAGAACGGCCGGAAAAGCACGTTTCAAAGCTATCAGAGAGTTCATCGATCTGCGTGAGCTACTGCAGCAGGAAAAACGCTGCGGTAACTACCTCAAAAGCAGGTTTCTACGCGGTATCGGTTAAAACAGTTCAAGCTCCCTGCCAAATGGAATTGCCTCTCTGCTGGCCACAGGATAACCCCACTGCTACTGAACTCTGTGCTCTGCATCCACAGGGAAAAGCCTCTGGGTCACTTCAAAGCTCAAGTTCAGACTCTGAGTTCTGGCCCTCAAGTACTGGGGTCAGCTTCCAACTTTGCTTCCAGAGCATTGCAGAAATTTTTTTAAACACTCTCTGAGTGAAACTAATTTTTTTTCCTTGCTGTTCCTCTTCAATAACTAATCTAAACATGTGATGATTTTCCATCTCCAAACCATTTTACTATGGCCAGACCCATAAAATCCCTGATAAGCTTGTGAATATCTTTTCTAGTAATAATCACCATCACTTACTTCTTATACTGTTGCTGAGCATAGCAAGGAATACTTGAAGCTTGGTGCCATCCAATTTGAAATTTTAAAACAATTAAACATTCTTTCCATCTCCATTTGCTTTTACTTATTGCTCTCACATTTTTCAGCATGTTTTCCCCTACCCATTCATCATGCATCATCCTTTAGTATGTAAAGGACACTGAGAAGATTCACATCAATAATGGGAGCTGCAGCCCTGGGAATGGAGGAAGTGATTTCATGTATTGCTGATTTACACTCTTTATTATCCTCTAAAACTTGCATGAACTTGCATTAATGATGAACTTTCCTTTTCTCATCAGTGCACAGGAGAAAGAAGCAACAGGAAGGAAGTGAAGAGTCCCAATTCATCCACTGTGGTTGGTTTTTTTTTGGTTATGAGTTGAAGCAGAAGGCATTTAACTACAACAGAACTCCTCCATTTCTTCTTGGCACTCACTCAACATAAGGGAGCTGACAGCAAAGAACTCCTATCCAGGAAGGATCAAGAAGGGACTCAGACTATTCCTCATTCAGATTTCTTTTTAAAAGTGTGTTTCTCCTTTAATTTGACATTAAGCAGGCAAAGTTACCCTCTGTAAGCAGACACTGCCCACATGAGACTGAGGGAATCGGCACCCGACTGCACAGGGGAGCAGCTCTGTGGGAAGAGCTGGGAAACACCTTCCTGCCTGCAGGATACAGTCCCTGCTGCTGGACTGCCAGAGCTAATAATAGCTGCAGTGATTGCTAGAGCAAAGACAGAAGGGAAGAAGATACTGTGAGAACACCTGTCACTCTGCCTCCTACTCAATTAATTAGGAATTTGGGTAGATCTCAAAACAATTTCTCCAAATATTAAGCTCCCATTCCATGTCATTGCAGTGGGCAACCCCTGCAAGGAGAGATGACCTTGTGTCTCCCCTGGAATGCTTCAGAGGGGCACATCCAGTCAGACACAGCCAGGGTCCCACTCTCAGGTGTCCCAGAGGGACAAAGAGATGCTCCTCTGCCCTCACCCTGGTTGTGTCCTGTGCAAAGCCAGCCAGGGATGGCCCTGACAGATGTGTCCAGCTGCTCACAGAGCAGTGTTCTCATTTGGGAGGCTTCAGCCCCAGCTGTGCTGTCACCTCCCTGGCTGTCCTTGGTCACCTCTGTGCTGGCTTTACCTGGGCTACTGCTCCTGAACTTCCAATTCCTCGTGAACACACAAAATACAGAAAGTAGAAAAGTCTTAAATTAGTTTAAAACAAGACAAACGATTTGCCATATGTAAATCTTCAATCCATGGATATTCTTAATGGAACTAAAATACTGATAGACATCAAAATTGATTTTACTTCCATCATTTATATTGCAAATATAAATAAACAATTCTGGACTGAATTCCAACATGGCTGTGGGAAGTTATAAAATACAATTCTTATAGAGCCTCTTGACCCATCTGTGAAATGCATAGTTCCAGCTTCCACTGACAGTCTTTATTATGCCAATTTTCACAAAACCCTTAGCAGGACAGAGGAAAGCTCACACATACAAACTTTGGGGCTGTGAAGAGCATCAGTGACATTCTCTCAGTTACCAACAGATGTTTTGTTAATAAAACTTGCATGTACAAATGTCCACAAAATGTCTTAACAAGATCAGTTGTGACAGCTAAAGATAACAGCTGCCATCATGCTATGTCATATCAAATTACTGCAAAGAGACTTTTTTTCCACGTTGTTAACTCCAGAATGTTAACTACAAACAAATACAGTTATCTACAGAGGAACTCCAAGTGCAAGGGATTTTGCACCACTTGTGCAGAAGAGCAGTGACTTTGAGGACCAGATAGGGAAATAATTCTGAACAGCTGGAAATGGTAATTGCAGTGTAACTGCAAAGTCAAACGCTGCTCCTGCAGTCAGCCAGAAGCCAAACCACAGACCTACCTTAAGATACAGAAGCAGCTCTTGGCCCCCGAAGATAAGCGACAGAACCCAAACCTCTGCTTGCTGTCAATGTCTGTGAGCACAAAGGTGAAGTTCTGCCCAACTTGGTTAATGGCATGGCTGGAAACAGAAAGCAAGAGAGAAAAAATACTGCTGAGCTAACTCTGTGTCAAGTATCACATCCAAGTCATTGAACCTATAACATTTCCTCTTTCAGCAGAGTTTTTTGGAGAAATTAACAAAAAGTATGTACCCTCCAGAACCTTAAATATGCTTGATGAGGGAGGAGGGGGGGGCGGTGTGGCTGTGGGTTTTTTCCCATTTTTTAAGTGTGGGAGGATACTGAGTTTATCTTTAAAAGAAAATGGTTCTGATTATCACCCAGCAACCAACCCCATGTTCTCCAATATAACCCAAAATATTTCTAATTATAGGAAATTAAGTCTTATTTCAGGTCATGTTCTAGGGGTTTTTTTTAGGTTTTCTGAGAACTGAGAAATCTGACTTGCACTGACATGCAGCTTTGCAAGTCACTCCCACCAACTGCAACAAATACCCTGGTAAATTCAAGGCCATTTAACTAACAGTCACAGGCCTTAAAATATTCTCTTCTATGATGCTACATGCAAAAACCCAGTTTTTGTGGGAGAGTACACAACACTCAGTGCCTAGAGGAAACAAAGGAAAAACAGACTTGTAGAAATAAAAGCTGGATCCAAATGGGAAAGATGTCACTGCCCAGTTTAGAAAGAAGAATCCTTCAGTGGATTCCAAACAGGGAAGGAAAAGCACCCAGTGATGAAGATGAACAAAAAGACAGATATTTAAAGCATTGCAGTAGTCTGAGAATTAGCCAGTGTAAGTATTATCATCCTCCTGCAATCTAAATGTCAGCAGAGCAACTACTTCCATAAACCACACAGAGCTGCTGGGGATACCCAAAAATCTTTCACTGGTGGTGTGTTTTATCTGTAAAGCTTGGATGTAATGTTACTATGGTGATTTTAGTATGGTGTTTTAAAGGGGGATTATATGCTTAATTTTAACAAGGTTGAGAGCAGAGTGTGTGTGAGAAACAGCATTTGAGCTGACAATTAAAACTATGGAACAGGGGGAAAAAACATGTTTCATTAGCAGCAGGGAGAAGTTTGTTTATTAAACAACTCAGACAAGCTGGAGAATTCCTCCAGAGCAAACCTGGAGCATCGTGCATTCACATGACCTGGAGAAACCAAACCCTGCTGACAGGTCTTGAGCTCAAGTTTCGGTGCCAGTTCTTCACAGGGAAGGATAAACTTCCCAACACAAAAAGTGTTCTTCCAAAGATTTTAATATCAACCCTTCAGATTCACAGATCTACTTTCAAATGGGCAGAAGGTTTATCTAGAGCCTCACAGGATGGAATCTTATCTCTAACGGGGCAGACAGAAGTTAGGGCTGCAGGAACGGGAAAGAGGAAGAGCAATTTCCATAACTTCCCCCCCAGCACCTACACCTGACTAACACAATCCTGGCAGCTCTGCACTCCTGCAGCTGGGGAAGAGCCTCTGCCTCATTCCAGCACCACAACAGCAGAAAACTCCTGGTGAATTGCCTGAAGGAATGGCCAACCAGTCCCTGGGGTTCTGACCAGTGGCCACAACACATGAACAGAGTCAGTGTCAAAAGAATGGAGTGTCTGTGCCACAGAGCCAGAACACTCAGTGCCACCACCACTGACATGTTTTTACATCCAGAAGAGAAGGAGCACAAGCACCTCCTTCAGCTTCCACAGCCTTAGGCTGGGGTGTGCTCTGCCTCCTGCACTGTGGGAAGTCCATTCTCCAAATGAAATTATTAAGTATGTTCTGGGTGACAATGTCTCCTTTATGTTCAAACTGGTTGGCTTGCAGTCTTTCAGTGACAATCTGTGATATTCAGACAAACAAGTGGATCCAGAAATGGGAATAACTTTTCATTATGTTCTCATTTGCACCCCATATGGGTTTTCAGTGTTCTATCTTTCAAAATGTTATATTGCTGAGGAAAACCAAAAACAACAAAACAAACAAAACCCCTAGGTACAATAAATCTACACACAGAAAGCATAAATATTTCTAGTAGAAACAAATATATGAGAAAGATGTTTGAGTATTTCCGTGCTTCTACCCCTTAGGAAATGAAAAGGATGAGCAGTAAAACAGGGATTCCAAATCCTAAAACGAGAAAAATACTTGCAGCGGTTTAATCACAGTAAATGTTGGTCCCCTCAACCCAAACCATTCTGTGTCTCAGCTGATGGAGACAAGTCATTCTGACCAATTAAGTGATGCTCAGAGATGAGATGAGCACTGGTGCAGCTTTTCAAAATTTCAGTTGTCCTTTTCATGAAACCATCAAGAATAACTCGAAGTAAACACAAAACTAAAAAAGTTCTACGGTTTCCCAAATTACAGGAAGTAAATATTCTCAGATCTTCTCTCTTTCACTTTACAATTCCCCACCAAATCAGAAGTCACCTTAAATATCAGCCAGCTTAAATAGCTGTCAAGTAAAGCACCAGCATTCCAGCAACATCAAGAGGCCTTTAAATGTAAAGCATTTCATTAATTGTTCCACCCAAATCCACCAATTAAGAAATAAAATGCATAAGCAGACAAAGCTTTGATATTCATATGCATATTTGACAATTCCTACCCAAGCATTTTCCATCCAAGCATTGTGCAGAAGCAAAACAAAACGCCCTCACAGTGCTGCCACTGAACAACTCCAACTTTTAAAACTTCTTTTTGTTTCATGGTGCCCATAAAAACCCCAGGAAAAAGTGATTCTGAGACTGTAATTTGCACTCAGGTGCTTTAAGTCCCAGTCACACAGACAGAACACTATGAATGGTATGGCTTTTATTTTCTACAGGGGTTTTATTGACAAGCTTATTTTCTTGTAAAGTTTGAAAAGCTAACAATACCTGTCCACATAGAAGGGGAAACAAAACTTGGTCAGAGTCTGTAGAACTTCCTGTAAAGAGAGAGAAAAAAAAAAAAGAGATAATTTATACATCTATGGGGACCAATAAATCTAATATTAACCACATCACACAATTTCACAACTTTGCCCTGAAGAAATAAGAGACAGATGAAGAAATATGGGCTTTATCAATTACATGGAAGTAGTACCAGGCAGTCAATCATGTGAAATAATAAACATGATCAAACTTCATTAAAAATGAAAAATTAATCAAGATTCACACATGGGCAGGCAGCAGGAGCCATCCAGCAATTCTCCAAAGAGGAGGAGGAGGTTGGGTTGTTGAGTGTTAACACCTCTCTGGGGACAGTCCCTACCCTGACCATATGGATCAGAGTGAATAACACCAAACCACATGGGCCTGGCCTGGCAGGACCACTTCTGCTGGCACAGCTTTTGACTGTTACCTAGGAACAGAGGTCTGGGGGATTAGAGAATACTTCCTAACATCAGCAAGATAAATAACAAAAGATGAAGCCAATAGGTCTCATAGCAGGAATGTTTAATGTTGCCTACTGCTATTAGAAAGGAAATCTCAGAGTTAAAAGACTGGTGAGTATAATGTGCATTAAAATTGATACAGATTGTTTAACCTATAAAGCATTTTCTAGAACTTGGAAAACAGCACCACAAACAGAAAAGTGTTTAAGCATGAGAGCAAAAAAAGGAAGAATGTGAAAAGTGAAAACAGGATCAGCAGATAAATGAATGATTTTCAACTTTAAAACATTAAACAAATACAGTCACTAAAGAGGCAAAACCAGAAACATGTTAGTCCCAAAATAGTTGTGTTTGTAGACAAAATCAAACCATTAGATCTTCAAAATTTGAATTCTGTAAGAATTCACAAGACACCATAAAGGTCTCAGTTTGCAGATCTTTCCTACAGCAAATTCATTGCTCATTCTCCTTCACACTTCAATATTTCAGGTCCTGAAGTGTAAATTCTATTTCTGCTTTCTGAACCCTGAACAAACAACAAACCCTCTGATAAAAGCAACACTTTTCTGACCAATAGCAATAAATTATCATCAATAACTAAATAGATGTTTTTCGCTTCATTTATTTCTAAGCCAAATGCCATCATTTCCAAATAAACTCCATCAATCTAATAACCTCTCCAGTGAAGCACAAAACATATTGACTCCCTTGCAAGAACATGTTCCTCCTGCATAATTCAAACAAGCACAGCCCATCCTGAGCCGTGGTTTCAGGCTCAACTGCTCACACTCTCCTTTGGAGGTTTCTTGACAACTAAAATGTGGCAAGTTCTGAGGATTTCAGGCAAAAACAGATATGGAAACTTTGACTTCTTGACAGTTTATTGATAGATTATTTAACAACCTCCTGTTTTTAAAGAACAAGAAAGGATCTATTGAAGAATGCCATGTAGAGCAAAGGCGTCTCCTCCTTTGAATTACAGCAGGAAACTTGGAAAGGAGCGATGCAGATTGCAGAGTAAACTGCAGAAATCTCTATTTTGATACAAAATAATGCCTTAATAGTAAAGGTCTCATTAATATGATCGGGTTCCCCTGGTGCAGAATCTCACTGACTTGCACAAGCTGAACAACTCCAATTGCTCAGGCACAAAAACTGCATCTGGACAAATTTTAACTATTACACAGTGGTCCTTTGCCACAACTGAAATCTTACAGTGCAAAATGCCAAAAAACAAACAAACAAAAAAACCCTACAAAATAATTCTAAAATTGTGAAATTATAATATCAGGAGAACAAAGCACCTGTATCTTTATTGGCCTTTTCAATACACATTGTCCTCAAAATAATGACTTTATCTACTTTTTTAGAAACAAAATCATATAGATACATAAAAGTCTGAAATAAAATAGTGTTAGAAATCAATGCCATCAGTCACCTCAAAATGGCAGAATATATTCTGTCCGTTATTTTGATGACTTGAATAATTCCTGTAACTGCAAGTAAAACCATTCACATAATAAAACATTCAGCATCTCATCAGCATTGTGTGACTGGAGAAGTACACTACTCAGAACTTACTCTGCACTTGTTCCTTGATATTTACAGCTTCCTAAACACAGCAAAGGAAATGTTCACGTAAACAGGCCATATATTGGCTCTGAACTCCTCTAAATTGCTTTCTCTTTTAAAGAAATATTTTACAGTGATATTATTATCTGGCTTTTGCAATGTCATTGGACATAATTTGCCATTCATTATACACCAATTCTTATCGGGCTCAATTCACAACCAAAAAAACTGAGACTAGCACAGGTTAACCGCAGATTTATTTTTCAATGGTAACTAATAAAAGAATATAAATACCATATGTAGAATTAGTTTTTAATTAGCTAAACTGCTGATCTCTTGCATGTAAGAAAAACAGCTACTGGAGAACTATCCCATTTTTGCTCAAGTTGCAAGCTCGTTACTCTAAATATAATGCTGCTTTTTAAAAATTCTTTAAATACTCCTCAGTTTGAAAGATAAGCAGTACCTACATAATTCATATACAACATCCTAGCCAACCTCTATAGGTGGGTTATTACTTATGACCTAGAAAATTCTTCATTTCTTTATGATTTCAGACAAACAAAACAAAACCTAGAATCACTCCACGCCAACATCTTATAATCAATTTTTTTTTACCCAACATGAAGCACAGAGGAAGTATCAATAGTCTGTTTTCTTGTTTTATTCCCTTATGGCTATTTTCCTAAAGAAAAAGCTGCATAAATGCCTGTAAAGCAAAAGCCCCTAAAAAGAAGACCAGAACCCCCCCAGCAACCCAGGACGGGCAGCTGATCAACGTAAATTACCCAGGAGCTGCCGCCGGGGTCTCCAGGGGACCACACGCCAGTTTTCTGGATCAATCCCCAAGTTTATATTTTCACAAATCTTTTTACATGCAGTTTGATTTTTAACATTTTAATGAGCAAAAAGTGCATCTCCAGCAGCCAGTCACCAGAGCTAAAGTGCAGGGCATGAACCGTGTCCCGGGGGATGCGGCGCAGCCGCGGCACCGGGGGCTGCAGCACAGGCACCACCTGGCTCCCCGTCCCAAGGTTCCAACTCTTTTCATAATCAAAACACTGCTGACATTATAAACCCCACACGGGTTTTCTAAAATCCTTCCCAATCAATAAAGCCAGTACATAACTTATCGGAGACAACACAGAGCTCATTGATTAAGTTTGGTTTCAGTAGCAAAGTTTTCAGAATAAATGAGGCAGGAACACTGCGCTCAGCCCTTTTGTGTCACAGCCACCTCTGAAGGTGAGGCAGGTTCTGCAAGGCTTTCCTACACACACAGGACAGACTTGGAAAGCCAGGCTGGGAAATACACACAACACACACCGGGCTCGTGTCCCAAACCATCTCTCTGTTGCAACCAAACAGTAAAGAAAACTCAACAATGCTGAGAAAATGTGCACATTCACTTGTGAATTTAATATGCAAGCTGTAGCTGCAGTCTTTTTTATTTTTAAACCCTTCACCGTATGCTCCCACTTCCAAATCAACAGAACAACTTCAGATTCTCTTAAATACAGTGGGTTGCTTCACTTCTGCTCAAATGAACATCACTAACAAATATCCCACGTGCAGCTGCAATTAAATAAAACTGCACTGATAAATGATGTGCAAATAGCTGGGCCAGAGAAGGGTCTGCTGCAAAGTGTCTGCTCCTAGAAAGACGCACAAGACACCAGAGATGCAAAGGGGAACAAGAAGCGTAGGGAGAAGTTGGACAGAAAATAGATTAAAATACCGGGAGATCCATGAAAAATGCTGAATGATTATGACTAAGTATGTCACTTATATAGGAATGTGAGTCTGAGCAGGGAAACAACATACCACACAAACCAACAGGCTGGGAACCTGTAATGGAAAACCTGAGGAAAATCTAGATGAAATTGGAAGGACCACCCAGAGTAGAGACTGGACCTTTAGCTGTGGATCCTGGAGGGGAGGGGGAAAGGAGGGAACCCCAAACCCCCACAAATATACGTTACAAGAGAATGGAGCATGGTCAGTGAGAGAAGTTTTCCATAGAGAAGAGATGACTCTATGATGAAAAAAATAGATTGCTGTCTCATTTCCTTGCCCTTACACCTGACGCAAAGTACAGCTGAGGCTGCTGCAAATGAAACGCAACACAGAGAGGGTGGAAATACAAACACTTTTCATCTCACCCAGCTTGAAAAGCACCTGAACCCAGCAAAGCAGCATGAAATGCTCCCTCTGCCAGGGAGGGACGCCAAGAGACTTCCCAGAACATCAGCAGACTGAGGAAGGATGGAGGAGAAACTGGAGAACAAGGAGGGCCCAGAAGAGTTGGGCTCAGGGTATGTGGGCACAGGGAACAGCATCCCCACTTGACCAGTGACTTTACTGCTCCTCAGAAGCAGCATCAAATTTAAACACTACAGAAATGTTAGCATGGCATTAAAAAGTGCTATGAGATTAACTGAAACAAAGTATTATCCAATTAAATTTGGGTTGTCCATTAATCCCTCCTATATCTACAGAATTGTAAACTGTTCTTATATTTAATATAGTAATAACACCAACACTACTACTACTACTACTACTACTACTACTTATTATTATTATTATTATTATCATTATTATTATTATTATTATTATTATTATTATTATTATTATTCCCTTTTGGCTATTTATTCCCTTATTGGTTAGATTATTATTATTATTAATAATAATAATTAGATTATTATTGTTATTATTATATATTAGATTATCTATATGGGGAGTTTTAAGCTAATGATTAATTAAGTGAACCACTGCAAGGGAACAACATGTTTAAGAATTCAAAAAAGCAAACAATAACTTTAAGAATTCAAAAAAGCAAACAATAACCTTAAACCCAAAATTTCTTGAAGTTCTAAAGGTTTATCTAGTTTTGAGAAAACTGGTACAACACAGATTCTTTTTAAAAAATCATTGCTTGTTTAAAATATTTATGTCAAATTTCATATTGCATTGATTTT